AGGTCGCTTTCGATCAATAATATTAATGTATAATTAATATTATAGCTTGCTCTTGACTGAACCCTTCGGGTCACACCCAATCATGTAACCGAACCAAAGCGACGAATTAATCCGAAGGATTAATTGATTCGATAGAGATTTTACGAACTAAGACGTCGGATTCCGAGCTTAGAGCGTCGAAGCCAAGCGTCGAAAGTCGAGTCGAATTTAGAAATCGACAAGACGGAAAAATTAGTCAAATAACAAGTCAACGCGCACAAAAGTCCTAGCCTCACAATGGCCTAGCCATACGAAGGCTAGGCGGGCTAGGAAGCCTAGCTGGGCTGCTGCCGCATGGCGCATGCTTAGCCGCAAGCATCGCTTCGCTTGGCGTGTGCTGTCGAGCTAGCAGCGAGAGCAGCGCCCAACACTAGCAGCCCGCGTATGCTAGCGAGGCTTGCTAGCATGGGCTGTGCTGCGGCGTTGGGTGTGCTGCGGCATGGGTTGGCTGTCAGGCCCAACCGAGGGACCAGGTGCCAGCAAGGCAGCCTTAGTGCCCAAGGCAAGGCGCCAACTGACCGTGGGCTATTGGAGGCCGATTTGTGAGGGTTTGCTTGAGGAGCAAGGGGAAGGTGGTCCTTCCCTTATGGACCTCACCTACTCCTTTGATCTCTTTGTGACACTTGTTATTTGCTAATTGCTTTGCCATTTTAATTTAATTTAGAATTAAATTAATTCATTCTTTTTGGCATTTCACCAACTATCCCACATTGAAAGATGATGGGAAATCTTGGGAATAATTCCCTATAAATACCAATCATTGGGTATTGAGAATTTCACTTGAGTTGGTGAACTCTAAGGGATCTCCAAAGTGTGAGAAAACCTTAGTTCGTAAACTCTAAGTAATATTGGTCTAGCCCCGTCTAAGCTACGAGGTAGGGACCGATTCGGTAATCGAGGGTGTGAGACGTCGGAGGTCTTGCATTTGCGGGGCTTGAAGTTTTCCAAGTCCGAGCTTGATTAGTGAGCGAATCACGCATCTAGGGTGAGCTTCTTTCTCTCTCTTCTCTTTATGTGTTTGTGTTTTATTTATTTGCATGCTTTTGTTTATGTTGTAATTATTATGCATGCGATCCGATTTTCGGGTTTTGTTTCCGCGCAGTGTCGGACACTGCAAAACCCAACAAAACTATCCAAGGACCAACACTACTGTCATGAATACCTTTTAGAGCATCTTACAGCTCCTCTCTTACTGTAGCATCATTAGAGCCATACACCACCGACAAGTTATACCTCTCATTACCAGAAAGCATTCTGATATGAAAATACATAACTTGCTTATCCATTTTCCTAATATCCACCTGAAAAAAGGTAGGTAACCAAGCAACCAAAATTCAACCACCTTTAACACAACTAAAGTTTGTAGCAACACACCAACCCTGAAACATATTGTTCTGGACCATAGAAAAGTTATTATTCTTGATCTTAGTCTCTACCAAGCAACATAGCCCCACTTTATTCTTCAAAAGGAAGTTTTTAATTTCCTTTTGTTTATCTGGGCTATTAAATCCCCTCACATTCCAAATGAGAATATTATTTATGCTTAGAGATAATATCCACTTTGTTATCAGGAGCAGGATTATCTTCTCCATCAGTAACACTCTCGTTCATGCCAAATTGTATATCAACAACTACTTGTAATCTTGAGAAAGAATTTCTAAGCTGTACACCACTCTTCTTTGCATGATGCTTTCTCTAAGGACTCTGCCAACATGGTTCCTTAACACCCTTCATTGGGGAACTCACCACCACATGTACCTCTGCTGCTTTATCCATTCTGAGAAATCTGGTTAGGCTTAGGAAGCCACACCTTTATCACTAGCTTACACTCATTTCTATTATGTCCCAAATTTTTGAAATGTACACACAAATTTGGTTTCCATTCAAGCACTACCTTCTGAGTTACAGTCACACCCATCTCATTTACAAACTTAATTTCCTTAGTAAAATCACCTTTCAATTCCATCTCCACCAAAAATCTAGCATATGCCACTCGATCCTTGAGTTGAGTTGCTAAGTCAGGTTTAATGGGGCTACCAATCAAACCAACAATCTTCTCCAAACATAATTTACCCCAATATTTCAGAGGTAAACCAGGTAATTGAACCCAAACAGAGACATTAGTAAACTCAGAAACATGCAATTCCATCCCATCTTCCCAAGTTTCAAGAACACAGGTTCCTTATCAAACATCACATGCAAAGAATTTAGAGCTTTCTCCTCAACTTCTACATTCAACAATTTAATTAAGAACACCACCTTTTCAAGGGTCATTAAAGTTGACAGCCTCAATATTAACATTGGCCCCCTCGGTCACCTAATTAGCGTTCGGATGCTCAGCCTCAGCAACTCATGGCTCGGCGTTCCTAGCCAAACCGAACTCGGACGACAAAACTGTGTTTTGTTGCTCAGCCTCTTCCGAGCTACCTTTTTTGGAGCCTTGGCCAGGCTCAACCAGTACAACGCCTTCTAGCACCAAGGGTCCCTTCCCCTTCTCCTTCCTTCTTGTTTTAGGTTCTGCTTGAATTCCCGAAGGAGGACCGTGATGAGAAGGGTGCTCGCCCACAGCTGCCGAACTAGTGTGAAGGGAAGACCCTCCATCGATGTTTTGGGCGGCCGCATTAGCAGCGATGTCTGCTCAGATGTTGGAAGATGGCCTATGAGAGATTGACAACTCGACTGGCTTGTCCGAACTGGTGTTTTGGTTTGGGCGATGTCTGGGATTTTAGGCGGCCACTTTAGCTACTCTCTTTTCCAGCCTTAGAGTCCACCCGAATTGTCAAAGAAGGCCTTTGTGAAGAATGCATCTCGGTCGGTCTGTCCGAGCTAGTACGCGTTGAAGAGCACTGTCTAGGATTTTGGACGACCGCTTTGACCTCCTCCTCCTCACTAGCCTCTTTGGCCGATGATAGTGAAGAAGGGTTTCTATGAATGTAGGGACGCTCGGACAAGGAGGCAATCACCTCTACCACCGAGCAGCCACTACTGCTCACCTCTACTCTGTCCAAATCTTCTAGACGCAAAGGAATAAGTGGATCTATTGGACAACCGTCTGTACCCCTGGCCGCATTTCGATCATATATCTCTCTTGTACGCGCTATGTCCAACTGCAGGGACAAATAAGTATGGGTGGGGGTGAATTAAAATGCACTAAATACCCCAATCATTAATGATGGGAAGGGTGGATAGAGATAGGGCTGTACACCGGTCCAAAACCGGACCGGACGTGAATGGACCAGGACCTGAATCATTGTTTTTTAAGGACCGAAGACTAGACCTGAATCAACGGGTTCGGTTCCGGTCCAGATCTGAAAAATCAGGTCCGGTTCGGGTTTGGACCTGAATAGACCTGATTATTAATTTGTTTCGGCCTTTTTTTTTTTTTTTTTAATTTTTAATAAAGAACCTGTTGGACCTGTTTAAACTTGTTTATGGACCTGATGTGGACCTTTTTGGACTTGATGTGGACCTGTTTGGACCTATTTAGACCTGATATGGACCTGTTTAGACCTGATATGACCTGTTTAGACCTGTTAAATAAAAAAGCGGCTTTACTGGTTTCAGGTCCGAACCTGAAAATTCCGGTTTTTACCTGGATTGGACCAGAAAACTGGAATCATGGATTTTTAAGGACCGAACCTGAATTCACCGGTCCGATCCAAACAAGTCTGGTTCAGGTCGGTTTTCTGGTCCGGGCTAGTTTGTGTACACCCCTAGATAGAGACATATTATTCAAGACATATTAAATTGCTCCAACTTTTCTCTACTTTCTCTCTCTAAAACCCTTTGTTTCCCGGCTACTAACTTGACCGTCGGAGGCGAATATTTTGTTTTGTAGGTGTCTGCGGTCATCCGAGTGCATTGAGGATCTGTATCCCAAGGAAATCCCAAAAAACCCCAAAACAATTTGTAGCACGCCTAGCTAGAGTGTGCTTCAAATGATAACTAAAATTCAAAAATAAAAAAACACTATTTGCAGCACACCCAATGAATGCACGCTGCAAATATTTGCAGTGCACCCAACATCACGCTACAAATAATAAAAATTCAAGCCTTAAAAAAAAGGCTATTTGCAGTGCACGTAGCTTGTGCGCATTACTAATAATCCACATTATTTGCAGCGCGATAGTTAGACTCGCTGCAAATAATAATTTTTAATTGCATCGCTCTCATATGCTGCGCACAAAAACGTTGCAAAAAGGGGGATTTGGGCACGCTGCAAATGACATTTTTTCCACTATTGTGTTAAGTTCTCTTATTGGCTTCTGGTGGTTAAGTTGTATGCAACTTGTTACTTGTTGGTTGGGCCACTTGATGTCCTCTGATTGGTCCACGTGGATGGGTATTTTTACCTTAAACAACAACAATTTCGAGAAATTTCTTATCCAAGAAAAATTAAATTGAAAAAAATTTCTATCTAGTTTTTAACCGGAAAAATCCAATTGAGTGTAATCCTGAATCCACCGAAAGTGATAATTCAGATCTAACTAGTTTTAATTTTAAACGATTGCATAGTCGTACTTAGAGACAAAGTCACTTTAGGATAATATCAAAGAAATTGCCCCCACTAGTAAATAAATTAGTAGTACTAGTTCAAAAGCATACCTGAAAAGGTAAAAAAAAATGGTTGAAAAAATAAGAAAAACTTCGCATTAAATTAAAAATCATCCCTAACATGCAAGGAAAGGGGGAGAGAGAATTTGTATTTGGTTAAGGTCCTTTTAAATAGGGAAAGCTCTTCTCAATTTTATTTTTATTTTTTAATTTTTTTTCTTTTTAAATTAAAAAATCTAAAATTTGGTTTCAACTTTCAAATGCAGAGAATGGAGACTGATTTGCGGCGCACAACCGATAAAATATGGTCCCCACCATAATCAAAGGTAAAATTAAAACAATAATTTTAATTTAAGAATAATTAAAAAAAAAAAAAATACCACTTTTTTTTTTCATTTTCGGAATTACTACGAATTTACGATTACGCCACCGAATTTTCTCTCTCCTCTTTCCCTACAATAGGAAAGAAAAAGAAGGCAGCTATGCTTATGATAACACTGTTATTTAGAAAGAGAAAATAAGTAAACTTAGAGAGAGAAAATCTTTAGGGACAAAAATTCAGGGGAAAAATCAATGAGATTTTGACAAAAATGGCGGTTTTCTAGGGTTTCTTTGCTCAATTTTCTAGGGTTTGTATACAGCTGAATTGATTGATTAATTGAAATTATTTGAAGCTTCATTGAATTTTCCATGGAAATGCCTGGTAGAAGATCAAATTACACGCTTCTAAGTCAAGTAGACGATCATTCAACGCCGGCGACGGCGGCGTCAAAGTATTCCGGCGTCAGAGGAGAGAGAAACATGTTTCCGGCGTCGATCGGGTTGCAGAGGCAGAGCAGTGGGAGTAGTTTTGGGGAGAGTTCATTGTCGGATCATTACGTGCAATCGATCTCGTTACCGGCGAGCGATCTCGATGGTTTTAGCTACTTGCAGGAGGAGAGAGGTTCGAGAAAGAGGGCGGCGATTGACGGTGGCGGCGGTGGCGGTTGTGGAGAGTCTTCGTCGTCGAAGAGTTGGGCGCAGCAGACGGAGGAGAGTTATCAGTTGCAATTGGCTTTGGCTTTGAGACTTTCTTCAGAAGCTGCGTGTGCTGATGATCCTAATTTCTTGGATCCGATGCCGGATGAATCTTCGTCTCGGTTGTCTTCCTCCGAATCCGCGGAGTCCATCTCTCATCGATTTTGGGTAATTACTTTCCGCACTTTATTTTCTTCCATTTGGTTGTATTATTGAATATTATTTGCATTGTTGAACTTAAAATGCGGCTAATTTGGAGTCATTGTTGTGATTTATTTTGGTTGGGTGAGAATTGGTAACTTAGGTGACACAACTGATTGCTTTATGCTCCGCGTTCTTGAGTTCATAAAATGCAGCATTGGGTGATTGTGTTCATCTTAGGTCTTGTATTTTTTAGTTTTGACAGAGAATTGATAAGTCGACACGGATAGATAACTGCGTGTTTAACCAAATTGTGTAGTAAAGCTTCATTACCACGCTTCTTCTGGGTAGACCCCATAAGCATTTGCAATTTTCTTAGGTTTGATGCCTCCAATATGTGGAAGTCCCAATATGCTGATTAGGCTCAATTGGTCTTTGAAAGCTATTATCTTTCTCGATGTCTCTAGTACATAATTACTTCCTAGAAATTATTTTCCAATTTATATTCTTTGTGGCTTCCTTGCTGGACTTAAGTAAATTTTGGATATTGAGTGCAATGTGAGTTAAGGGTTAGGGTTTCACATACACGGAGGCTCTTTATTCCATCATCTCCTATAATCCTTCCCTTTAGTGACCTAGCAATAAACTATGTTACTCGCACTCTTCATTTCACTTCAAGTACCCCATGTCGGATTCTCGGATGTGGGTAGGACACATAGACACTTTATTTTAGTTCAAAATCATGGATAATTTTCACAAAATATCTGGACAATTGGGCATGTATCTATGTCAGACATGGGTACCCAAAATCTGAGTAACATAAGCAATGAATACCAAGAAAATAGTAGAATTAGTAGAAAGTGGATCCTTTTTTTTTTTTTTCCCGATATTTTAGGTACGTAAGAAGAAGTTGTTTACGACCATTTTATGTTATGAATGTATACTCCTTATTTGAAGATGAAAATTGGGGAAGAAGTTGATAAGCTCAAAAACAAGGGAAGATAGTCAAGTGATTGCACTTCTAAACTCCCAAACACCTTAATTTAGGTACGTAAGAAAAAGTTGTTTATGACCATTTTATGTTATGAATTGTATACTCCTTATTTGAAGATGAAAATTGGGGAAGAAGTTGATAAGCTCAAAAACAAGGGAAGATAGTCAAGTGATTGCACTTCTAAACTCTGAAACACCTTAGTTTAAGGCACAAAGCGCAATTGTGGCAAGATGCTATTGGCTCCCCTAAAGTGCTGATTCTTTAAAATCATTTTTAGAACACATTTTGTACTCAATACAACATAATAACTATATCATTAATGTACAAATTGGCTTCCACAAAAATTAAAAAAAAAAAAAATGTACAAATTGGCATTAGGAAGCGTAATTTGGTATATTTCCTCCAAACAACAAATGTACTTAGTAGAGATTTTAAGTAAGAAAACAAAATTTAGTTTTAAAAAGTGTGCCTTAGGCGTGCCTAGGCAAGGCACTGGTGAGAAAGCTGGCACCTTAGCTCTATGAGGCTCAAAGACCTATAAAAGGCGCGCGCCTCTCCCTTTGCCCTTTTTTCTAGGTTGCTTCTTTTGTCTTTGCGCCTTATGTTGTAAGGCGTCAATAATTAATGTGTTAGATAATTTTTTACCACGTGACTTTGTGACGGTCATGTTTACTTTAATTCTAGAGGAGAGAGAAACCCCATATTCCCAATTTCATTTGAAGAACCCTTTAATAAACTAATCTAAGTTGGAATGAATGTTTTAGGAGACTTGACCTTAAGTCTCTAACAGGAGAGTTGTGAGCTAAACTCACTGTTTTGTGTAAACGTTCTAGCATTTCATTAAATTAAAGCTTCAATCTTTCACCTCCATACTTTCTGTTATTTGCTTTTGCTGCGTGTGAGAGTAGCTGGTCTCAGTCTATTAGAAGGACGCTAAGCTTCACCTCAATCCTCCTCCTTTCTGCCTCATTACTTGGGTGATCGTTGTCTCCACAACCCTTCTTTCAATTTTTGTAATTGGAAGGTGGCTGTTTTAGGCGACATGATATCTGGGCACACAGCAACCGCATTGATACCACTTCGTCCACTGGTAATAGACTGAAAATACTGCTAACTTACGCAAAATAACAGAAAAATAAAGAGAAAAAGATTGATTCTTGATTAAAAAGGTTAGAGCTTTTTACAAACTACTCCTTCAATCCCTTAATATTTGCCCCAATTTCCTTTTTAGTCCATCCCTTTAATTTTTCTCCATACTAATTTTGGTTGTAGGGACCACACCTTTACTCTCACAACAACTACATTAATCCCACATTTCTCTCACATAACTATTTTCAACCAAAAATTATAAAAGTAACAAGTTTAGATTGCAAATCTCCAAGGTAGCTTGAGGCTTCTATTCTCCTAATAGTGACTTGAGGTTACAACTCCTTTCCCCCCTCTCTATATATTCTAAAACTAAAGATTATTAACCTAATAATACTAGACCACCCATATTGCCCCTCTTTAGGTTAGTTTATTACAAACCCTATCAATTGATCACATAACCCTTCCACCTTTTCTTAGAATTCTTTTTTGGACTTATTAAAAAGAAGTATGTATATTTTAAATAAATAAAGTGTGCCTTGAAGGTGTGCACCTTCGCCTCTCGCCTTGCGTCTTGGCTTCAAGGACTTTTGTGCCTTGCACCCTTCAAAACCAAGGAAAACGCACAATCAAGATAAAATGAGATAGTACTTCTCGCGTTTTAAATAAGTGCATCACTGGCTGAATCTGAAAAAGACTTATTAGTGCATGATTTCGAGGATACTCAAACCTCCCTTAACATTTTATTATCCCTTTCCTCCTACTTACCCCACTTCCTATTATTTCTTTTCTTCTCCCTTTTCAATCGTTCTTAGAGCTTGTTTGGCGGCCTACTAAAACTATAGTACTCAATGTTATCGTCATATTCTTCCTCTATGTTCTTGATAAACACGACTAATTTACATTCGGTGAAAGCATTCCTTAAGAAACTTGGTTCTTGAGTCTTATATGGGCGGCTTATTCTCTCTTTTAAACATAATTTTCTTCATTCTCTCATATTTATCCAAACTAAATGAGCTAGTAGTCTAGGACTTCAATAAGTTGTGGTTGTCAAAATGGTTTGTTTCTTTTCTGGTATCTTCTTTGGCTATTAAGCCTTCGTTTTAGGTTTTAATAAGGCATGCAAATGTCTTATTAATAGAAAGGTTTCAATTTTTACCATTTTGTGTCAAAGGTAATTAATAGAAAGATACAAGCGTTCGATTTTAGCTTTTCACACCAAAATGAACTAATGTAAACTACATATCAGAGGGAACTTCCTAATTTATCTCTGGAAGCAAACTTTTTGATCAACATGTGAAATGAAAAAATATCATTGCCATTAGATTGACATGGATCTCAATGCATGCAACAATATTGTACAATGTGCTTATTAACTTATATAATGCTTATTATATCATATGCAATATGCATATATACAATATTATATACTAACTCTGTTTCTAATTGATCTTAACATTTACTATTTGCACAAATTTTAAGAAAATTGGTGAGTGTGAGTGTAAGAAAAAGATGGTTAAAGTAAGAGAGATAATGAAATAGTGGGTGAGTCAAGAGAATGTGCATAGAGTGAAAAAGAGTGAGTAAAAAGTGAAAAATTGTGGGGTAAGAGAAATAATGTAGTAAAAAGGGTTTGGCTAATATGGAATAAAGTGGAAGTGTTGAGATCTTTTAGAAACAGACCAAAATGGAAAGTGTTATGATAATATAAAAACGGAGTTGGTACAATACATAGAATATAAATATGTGTTTTCCCCTTTTTTCCCTTGTATATGTTTACTGAGTGTATCTCATAGATAAAATAGGCTTTCCTCATTTCTTGAGGAGTTATGGAAGCCCTTTTTTTTTTTTTTTGGACAAGACACGCATGATTTAACCCCCAATTATAGATTTTAAAAGTCCTTATTCTTGTTGCCCAATAAGAAAGGACATGATAGATAGTTCTTGTGCTTTCTAGCCTTCTGGGCTTTCAATTGGCTGAAGAGCAGCTGCTGCCTATTCAAGTCATGTGTTGGTTTTGTGTATACTGGGTGAAAATGAAGGTGCTAGATAATGACATTTAATTTGTTGTGGTTGAAGCGGATTAAGGTGTGTAGTAGGCAGCTTCTTTGGTTAATTTTAGAATAGTTGTTGATTTGAGTTTGTTACTTTGGAGTGTTGGTAATTGATGAGGCATGCCATCATTGGTTGCATGCAAATGTCTACTGTAATATCAATTGTTTTCATTTTTAATGAGTAAAACCACTGGAATATTGTGTGGTACTTGGTGACCCATAGGTTGACTTAAGGTGGTGCTACTGCACCTTCTGAAAATAAAAAAGGCCAAGCATTATAGTTTGCATATGTAGCTGTCTGTTAGTATTTGTTAAGATTGTCACTGCAAATATATATGGAAATATTTTTGTATGTTTATCGCTTGTGGAGCCTTTACGTCTATCGTGCATCTTATAATTTCATTCTCTACTTGTAATTATTTGTGTGTAGTTTCAATGAGAAAATGACACTTTGTAGATTGCGCGGGCCCATAGCTTTTGAATTTTCTGTTATCACATAATCAGATATTCTTTCGTACTCATTACATTAGAAATTTTGTACTTTTGTTAAAATCATTGCCACGAATTATTGCAATAAGGATTTGTTAATCTGTCTGAATACTCACCAGATGAGATTTGTTATCAGGTAAATGGCTGTCTCTCTTACTCTGATCAAATTCCTGATGGATTTTATCTCATACATGGGATGGATCCTTATGTTTGGACGGTGTGTGCTGATTTACAAGAGAATGGTCGCATTCCTTCTATTGAATCACTGAAGTCGGTAACTTCTGTAAATGAATCTTCTCTTGAGGTAGTTTTGATTGATCGGCGCAGTGATTCCACATTGAAGGAGTTACTGAACCGGGCTCTTGATATATACTGTAATTGCATGGCCTCTGATGAAGTTGTTGATCAGATGGCAAAGTTGGTGTGCAGCCGCATGGGGTGAGTTATTATTGCATTCCTTTACGTTCTCTGTACAAATTTGTGGAAGCCCACTCATTCTGACATATTTTTGATCTTACATTAGGGGAGCAGCTTCAACCAGAGAGGAAGAATTGTTTCCCATCTGGGAGGAGTTCAGTAATGGTCTCAAGGATTGTCTGGGGTCTGTTGTGCTTCCTGTTGGTAGCTTATCTATTGGCCTATGCAAACATCGTGCTTTGCTATTTAAAGTATGTCAATTACTGTCAAATATACATTGTTACCTGTACTGTTTGATGTAGTTTATAGAAAGTTGCCCGGGACAGCTGTGAGCATGTTACTACCTATTTCATCATTTTTGTCTTGATCATGTGGTGATTTTTGTGCTTTGGCCCCTAGGCTCAGTGGGTACAGGGAATAGCCTGCAGTCATGAGTAAGTATACCTGCCAACTTAAGTTCAAGTGTATCTTCATGTGAGTTTATCTGTCAATACCGAGGCTGGGCTTTTTGAATGAATCACACAAGCTTCTTAACTGCTTCCCCCCCATGAGTTGTACATTCTTGTCTGAAAGATTTGTGTTGTTTATCTGCAAGTTGGTTAATTGTTAAGACTCCTGGAATTCTTTGTCCAAGTACGTATTTTCTTTATCGACATTTTATGATGTATGGAGTTGAGTTCTGGTTCTTTTGGTTGCTATAATTTGCTACTTGCTGAGTTGCTGCACTATTGCTGACCCTGTATTTAGTGTATGATGTGGACCTCCTTTAACCTATGCTGCTATTATGCCCTATGTATGGTCCACTGTAACATGCTACACTCTGCACAATTGCTGACCTCTATATGTCTATGACGTGGGAGTCTTTAAATCATACTGCCATTATGCTCTGTTAATGGTCAGTTGATCACTGTAACTTTCTGCACCATAGGTGACCTCCTCTATATAAATGTATGATGTGAAATCTTTAATCTATATGCTATCATGCCCTGTGTATGATTAATGTAACATGCTACTTGCTGCACATTGCTGACCTCTCTTGTGTGATGTAAAAGTCTGTATCTTAAATTTTTTTAAAAAATCCATAATTCTCTGTTAAATGAAATTTTTACTATATAAATATTCTGCTTCCGAAGGGCATGTGAACATATTTTATCATCCTTGGTTTCAGGTCCTTGCTGATTCAATTGATTTGCCATGCCGAATTGCCAAGGGCTGTAAATATTGCAACAGAAATGATGCTACCTCTTGCCTAGTACGGTTTGGACTTGATAGGTATGCTCATATTAATTTTTGAGTTTATCATAATGGTAACCAAATATATTTCTACTATTCACAAATTTACATTTTGTAAGATTGTGGACATTTTGGACTAAAAGTTATATGGCTTACTATACTCTTAGTTGCTCATATTTACTATGAAGAAGTCGATGGTTGTTGTGTATGGATGAAGGGAAAGTTGGATATAACCCTTTCTGCTATTAGTCACTGGAGTAGGGAGGTTGTGTAAATCTTATCCAATTAAATCTGTCTAGGGTGGGAGCGGTATTGGGATGTTGTTGATGCATTGTATTGTCAGTACAAGGATGTTAATGGAAGTATTTTAAAATTTCTTTATCATGCATCTATCCAAAACTATTGGTGAAGCTTATTATTTTGTTCTGGTAACGGCTTAAATGGTCATTTTTTTGTCCATTTCAAAGCCTAAGCCCTACTGCAGAGGGTTGTTTTCTTTTCATTTTTGGGGATAGTGTTACTAGGGTAAAGCTGTCAGCCGTGATGAGTGTCAGACTGTATAGCTGTCTTGTAGAGTTGCAGTGCACAACTGCACACGTTATCTATTTATTTTTTAGAGTAAAGCTAAATTTTTTATGGGAGTGGTAGGGAATGTGCCCCACCAGGCACACTTGTGGCTCCACCCCTGTTGGAAACTGCCATCTTACCCTTTTTTTTTATTCAAAAAAAAACAAAAAAACTGCATAGGACTTATAGATTGTGCTGCATATGTAAATGATTTTACCCTTTTTTTGATTTTTTTTAATCAGAGCTGTGGTCTTGATGGAAAGATGGAGTCTTGTTGGCTAGCTTATGTCAATACTGGAAGTCCCGAGCTCCTGATGCACCTTGTATCTGCATGATAATGTCAATTCTTTTATTTGTTTCAGGGAGTATTTGGTTGATTTGGTTGGGAAGCCAGGTTGCTTATGTGAGCCTGATTCCCTGCTTAATGGTCCATCTTCCATATCGATTTCTTCACCATTGCGCTTTCCACGATTTAGAACAGTTGAACCTGCCATAGATTTCAGGTCACTGGCCAAACAGTATTTTTCAGATAGTCAATCTCTGAATCTTGTATTTGACAGGCCTTCCACAGGTGATTTCTCTTTGTCTCATGTGATACTCAATAAACTTAATAATTTATTGTTCATTGTCTTTACTGTCTAAACAGTTTAAAACCAAATGACTAAGGAACCTGATTTATTAAGTTTTTCTTGATTTTAACTTAAAAGATACATTATACTTAACTTGTAAATTGGTATGTGTGCTCTTTGAATCATAAAAAAACCTGCATCAACTTTGTACTAAATGATGGTGTTATTTTCTTAATGAAGAACATTGTATATCCCCTGATCCTACAACAAGCACGTGCCGATATCCTAACTGGTTGGTGGTGACGGATCCATTAATACTATTGGTGTTATTTATCGTTATTATTGTTGTCATAGCCTTATACAATCAAGAGTTTTCTGAAGTTTCTAGTGAGATATTTGTCATAGCCTTATACAATCAAGAGTTTTCTAAAGTTTCTAGTGAGATATTGCATTTTTTTCTTTCTTATTGGGAAAAGGTAATAAGTTTTGATTTAAGGATGCAATCTAGATTTTTTTTCCCTATCTGTCATATCTCATATGTGTAGCTCTCCCAATTTCACTCTAAGCTTGTTATTGGATATAAATGATCCTATTTCTCTGATATATGTAAGGTCCTGATGAAAGATAATATTACTATGAGCACAATTTCTTCTAGTTGTAAAATGGAAGGAATTACAATAACAAGATTGAGGGTGGTGGTTTAGAAGTGGTAAAATTCAAGCTCTAATTGCAGAAGAGAATAGTTTAATTTAATTTTAGCTCTATGAGGAAGTCAAGTGGGGGTATAGTAACAATGGTAAGAAGGTGCCCATGAGCAAGTGTTTAAATACCTTGGATAGCTTTTGCCATTGATTTAGGATTAATTCACGGGATTAAGTCCGGTTGGCTCAAATGAAGAGCAACAATTGGGTTATTGTGTGACTGTAGCATACCTTTGAAGTTAAAAGAAAAATTTAATCGGACAACTATCAGACCAATGTTGTTAAATGGATCAGAATGTTGGGCATTCAGGAAGCATCAATTAGAAAGATAGGAGCAGCAAAATGGGTATGTTGAGATGGATATGTGGCTGAAGATATGAGGAGGAAAGTTGGTTTGCGGACATTAGGATTAATAAATAAGGGAGAATCAATAGCGTTAATTTAGACATGTAAGGTGGAGATCGAAAGATGCACCAGTAAGGGAAGTAAAGGGTGTGGATCAAGGTTGGAAGAGGCAGGGAAGACCAAAGATGACTTGGATGGAAGGAGAAAAGCAGGACATCAAAAAGTTGGGTTTGCATGAACATATAACATTGGACAGAAGGGAAGGAAGGGGAGGATCATTGTTAGCGACAAAATATTGATTCATGTAGCCAATCCCATCAATGGAATTAAGTCTTCAATTGTTGTTCTTGTTTTATCAACCTTCAAAAAGGAAAAGAGAAAAGAGAAGGGTTTCCCCCTTTCCTGCTTTTTCTAGCTGTTTATAATGTCCTTTGCTGCGTGATAACTGATATAGTGGTTGCAGGATTGTTATTGGCAACATATTCTAGCATATTGGTCTTCTTCTCATGCCTCAAATCAACCAAAACCTGTATCTTGTTAGTAATATTTGCTTGCATCTTACATGTTGAATTTCTTCGCAGGTACTGTTGTAAATGAACAAGATGCAGGAGATCCGATGTATCTTAAGCAACTTGCTAGGAAGCTTCCTGATGCAAATAATTCTTTACCAAATGACCAAGTACATTCTCAGTTTGTTGGTCATGATAGAGAATCCCAGTCTTCTGAATCTAATAGTCCTCCACAAAATGTTGGAAGAGTACCTAATGCCAACAGAGAGTTCCTTCCATCAAGATTTGTTCCTCCTAGCAGACAACGAGTGACCCAGCCATTCACTGATTCAACAAGAAATTCATCAAATGATTTTCGGTTTGAGCCTAGTCAGCTAGTTTCAAGTAGAAGTGAAGCTGCTCTAGACATGGATGATTTGGTCATCTCATGGGGCGACCTTGTTGTAAGGGATAGGATTGGAGCAGGTATCTCTTATCATTTAACTTTCATGCTTTATCTTGTGGAAATTATTAGCTTGGTTTTTTATACCTCTAATCACATATATTTGCTTCTAACTGTGAGTGCATTTTGTTCTGTGGTCTCTGTGATATCGGTTTTTGAACTACCTACTTGTATCTCCAGGTTCGTTTGGAACTGTCCATCGCGCTGAATGGAACGGATCGGTGAGCATTTTAAACTTCCTGATATTTGTTATGACGTGGTGTTCCATGGTGAAGATTTGAAATATCTTCCTGACGTTTTTGTTTGATCTCAAATGGTCCTGTATCCATTCACAATTGGTGGAAGTTAATTTTTGATTCTGTATTTGTTAGATATTGTTGTAGAGACATTTTCTTTGTTCTAATGTAAAGGCAAGAAGCAAGATGAAAATTCAAAGGTTATATAGAGAAAAAAAAAAAAGATGTAAGGTGAGAATTAAAACAATGGCTGTAGATTGTTTATATTCGAATATACTAGGGGATTCAGTGATATCATCTACAAAATCTTTTCCACAGTCTAAGCAGCATTCTTTTCTTGTCTTCAAATAACATTCAATTGGTATTCCAAGCTCAAGCCATGGATAATGCTCACTGCTCTTTATGAGTGGACTAAATAACGTATTAAGGTGACCTTTTTGACTTGGACAAAAGTTAATGTAACCTCCCTACAACTAAATCATGGCTTTTGGAATTTTATAAAGAGGAAGCTCTTTTGATCTTTTACAGACTTCGTTTTTGTTAACTAAGAGCTAATTTCTCTTTAATACCATTATCAGGGAAGAAGGGTATGGCCATAAGAGGATAAGGGCTAGAGGAGAGGGATCTCTTGGTTGTTAGGGTAGTGAACCGCAAACAACTTTTTTGTCTGTTTGCAATAGAAGCTTTGAATTTGACTTATCATTCACTGAAAAACCAAATGTTTTGCCTTTAATTTGTATGAAGATATTGTGTGTTTTTTTTGTAAATTTTTTTTTGTCTTTATTTATGTTTATAAAGAAAAAGCATTGCCGTTATTTTTTCTTTTACATTGTCCAGTGGATTCAATAGTTAAACTTGTTGTGTCTAAGTTGGGTATATCTGTGTTTACATCTTGCCATGATTCTATGATCAACTTAGCATCTGAAGAAGAGTGCCATTGATGTAAAACAGTCAGATTGTGCTTTCATTGTGTCAAATCTATTCTACTAGCCACCTTATTGGATGTGCTTTAACTTATGAACATATTTTTAAGAACAGGACAATTGGATTAAGGTGAATATATATGTAGTAAATATCAGCGAAATGGATGTTATGCTGAACAAATGTTTATCAAATATCAGTTGGAACCTGAGCATATTAAAGTGATAAGACATGTATGAGTGTGTAAATGCAAGGTCTGTGTTGTGAGGATGTTGACACAAATAGGAGCTATCGAGCTAGTCTTCTTCTCTAAGAAAGCTAAAGATTATGCTATCCTGGATGAACCGAGCGTTGATGCTAAAGTTGAGTGTTAATGGCGAGAGATCCGAAGCTGGGTCTTGGTGACAAGATGAAGGTCCTTGAACTATTGTACTTCATGACTACTCTCCACTTGTAGATCCTTAACTGATAAACAAAAAATTTCAAATGGTACTGAAACATTCTATCACAAGTAAATTTGCGAACTGACACAAAGTTCTTAAAGGCGTGTGGGATAAGCAGGAAATTGGAGAGGGTAAAATCATACATTTCATAAATAAAATCTTTACATATCCTATCCTATATATATATATATATATATATATATATATATACTACACACTCCCACCCACCATGGGATGGAATTGGGGGGAGAAAAAAGGGCCCGGGGGGTGGTGGTGGTGCTGTTATTTGTTAATCTCACTCCTACTGGGAGAACGGTGTCAATGAGCTTACATTTTCTAACATCTGTTCACAAGCCCATACCGTAATCTTTTTTCTCCTATCCTTTTCCCTTGTCTGGAAGACTGTCTTTGTTGAATCCATTTTGTTTTTTAATCTTCAGCTAGTTCTATTGTCCCTCTCCAAGTTGCTGAACTATGTGCATTTGATGTAATTTAATTTCATATATATGCTCCAGATGCAGCACTAATAATTGCCTTATGGTTCATTGTGTAGGAGGTTGCAGTCAAAATTCTCATGGAGTCAGATTTCCATCCAGAGCGATGTAATGAATTCTTGAGGGAGGTGAGAATTAAGCATGATGTAGCTGTTGGTCTACATAATTGCTAGAATATGTGTGATTTCTTGTGTTTCTGATCCATTTTAATTGAACTATTGTTAATTAGGTGGCAATAATGAAACGATTACGGCATCCAAATATAGTTCTCTTCATGGGGGCAGTTACTGAGCCACCTAATTTGGCCATAGTTACAGAATATTTATGCAGGTTTGCGTCCTTGAACTTTTGTACCACATTCTAGTAAAAACTTTCTTGTGTTTTTCTTTTGCTCCTTTTATTTCCGCACCCCCCCCCCTTTTTTTTTTGTTTATTGAACTAGTTATATATGGTACTTTGATTGCAGAGGAAGTTTATACAGGCTTTTACATAAATCGGGTGGCAGAGAAGTGTTGGATGAGAGGCGGCGTTTGAGTATGGCTTATGATGTGGTATGCATGCTTAATCTCCTTTGCTTCCCCTCAATTTTATTTTATTTTTTTTTTTAAAAAAAAACCTTTGGAAAAAAAGAAGAAAAACTATCATGCATGATTCTCTGGATTAATGACATGTTTGTTGGCACATAAATGCTGCTCTTTTTAATATCCAAAATCGCTCGTCTTGTCACTAATTGTTGGCTCTTCAACTATCTGCTCTGCAGGCAAAGGGAATGAATTATCTTCATAAGCGTAATCCACCTATTGTTCATCGGGATCTAAAGTCTCCTAATCTTTTGGTGGATAAGAAATACACTGTAAAGGTAAAGTTGCTATACACCCCCACCCTCCTCCCTAGGGGCCTATCCTTCTGTGTGAAGACTGAAGAATAGAGTTGTATTGTAGTGCTAACTTTTGTACAGTTAATTTAGCAAATACACTATAAAGGTAAAGTTGTTATACACCCCTACCCCCCTCCCTTGGGACATCAAATCCTCCTGTGTGCAGACTGAAGAATAGTGTTGTATTGTAGTGCTAACTTTTGTACAATCAAACACCATTTATTGCTTTAGCAAAATGCTGGATCTAGACTTAAAACCTATATTTATGCATCAATTAATTTAGCATTTCCCCCTTTTTCAATGCTTATTGTTATTGTGCTTATATAACTTGTCTTGCACAAGGGCATGGTTGCGTGAGGGGATGGTAATAAGTGGGGGAATGGTTTTTCAAACTTTTAATGATAACCTATTTCCTTGTCAATTGAAGTTACATTGAACTCTGAACATCATTGTGTATTTAAGGATTGTTCTTACTCTGAATGTCATTTTGTATTTAATGGTTCTATGTAAATTCCGCACTATGGGGTGGTCTTGTGACTAGAAGTTCTATCAGAGGTGGTTAGTGATTAAAAGTCCTAATCGTTTTTTTACTATGGATCATTCGTACACAAATGCCTTGTTTACCCCTTTACACGTAGTTTAATTCTGTCAATTGCTCCTAGTTATCTATTTGTAGCTTTTTGCTATTTATTTAGCACACTAACTATTTTCTGGGCTACATTATGTTCTTTGCGGTTGACTTTGCATATGTGTCTTGTCTTCTGTCCTTTTCAATTTCATAATTCCTCATATGTTCTGTTTTTAGCTTTATTGTCTTTCACCAAGCACGTCAATTCTAATTTTTCTCTTATTACATTCACTTGTGTAGGTCTGTGATTTTGGCCTTTCGCGTCTAAAAGCAAATACGTTTTTGTCTTCAAAATCAGCTGCAGGAACGGTAAGCTCTTGTGCTGAATGGCATGGGACCAATGTTAATTTCTTTGCCTGTTCTGTGTCGGTGAAGTTATGGAATGAATTTGTTGTAAACTGAATAATTGTATTGAACAGCCTGAGTGGATGGCACCTGAAGTTCTCCGTGATGAACCGTCAAATGAGAAGTCAGATGTCTACAGCTTTGGTATAATATTGTGGGAACTTGCAACATTGCAACAACCGTGGAGCAGCTTAAATCCTGCTCAGGTGATCCCCCCCCTCCCTCCCCCCCTTCTTTTTTTTGTTTCTCGTCTTGATATTAATTTTTTTTACTGATCTTATTTTTTTTGAGTTTCCAAAGTTGTATGGGAAATGCTGCATAAGTTATGTTGTTGCTCCTTTAATGATAAAACTGGTGTGAAGATATTATTGGAGGTAATTGAGGGGACATTTGATTCTCTTTTTCAGGTAGTAGGTTTTCTATTAGATTCAGAACCACAGTTGCTGTTTGGTTCAAGAAAGTTCCAATCATTAAAAGCAAACTCCTTTTAGGTATGGGGTCCTTAGTCCGGAGAGAGAGAGAGGGGGGGAGGGGGGGTGTTGCTGATGGCCCAAATAGCATAAATGGGTCAGATAAAGAGAGGAAAAGGGGAGACGAAGAAACTCAGGGGAGTGAGGGAGAGCATTGTTAATAACTACCGTCTCTATGCTTTGTAAATAGGTACAAATTGTACTTACCCTGTTTCGACAAAGAACGGCACTTTGGTTTTTTTAACTGGAAAAATCGGGAATGCTCAAGTTTTCAGAAGTATCCCTTGCTAGTTGTTAGTGGGCACTGAGGATTGAGTTTTGATATTTTTGAATAATTAACAATCTCTATAGTCTGAATTGATAATAGTGACATGTATTTGGCATAAAGGGAGCATCAGTTTAAAGGCTTACTTCTTGTCCACACTAGATACTTTCTTATGACTAGTTACTGCATCTTCGTGTCTATATACTCTTATTCCCTACATGCACATTCCTTTTTTTTTTTTTGGGTAAAATTTGTCCTTTATATTTTTGCATGTATCTTATTTCCTTAATGCACATTCTTTTTGTGACAAGTTTGTGGTCTACCCTTCTGTAGGTTGTTGCAGCTGTTGGTTTTAAGGGCAAGAGACTTGATATTCCACGTGATGTAAATCCTCAAATAGCTGCTATTATTGAGGCGTGTTGGGCTAAGTGCGTAAAATCCTCTGTTTTTTGTTTTTACCATGCATCTGTCAGGGCTTACTATGTTGTTTTGCTTATCTGATTTTTTTGGTTTTCTGTAGTGAGCCTTGGAAGCGTCCATCTTTTGCCAATATCATGGATTCCTTGAGGACAATTCTTAAACCTCCTGCACCTCAATCAGTTCGTGGAGATGCACACATCATTACGTAAATCATTTGGTAGATGGAGTTTTGCTGTTTTGCTCTCCTCATTCGTATTTGCAAGATTATTTCCTGGTGAGACGTTTGGAAAAGGGTATCTGTCCATCCAATAATCCCAGGTGCGCCCATCTGGGTCTTGCATCCTACCCTCTCTGATTATCATATCATTTTGGCGTTTAAAATATATTCCAAGGATGATTTCAGCTGAAGTTGAGATTTATAACCTAGGACAAATGATATATTTTAACACAAGTACATATCTACATGTGGCCTGATCAATTGATTAAATTGATATCTGATAAAAATTGTTGTGGGGACTGACTAAAATGGCAGCTAATTTAAAAACAAAAATTTTATGGAAGAAGTCGATATGCTAAATGCTTTCAGAATATGTGACCATGTTCATATCAATCTTGAACGAAAGTGGAAAATCTTTTTATTGAATGAACTGTGATCTTTCTTGTTCTTGGCCATGTTGTTGGCTGGTTATCTGTAATCTGCGAGCTAATAGCCAGATCTTGGATTCCCTGTATTCCATCATTAGGTGCTCCAAATTGTGGCTCTTGTAGTTTTAGAATATGGGCTTACATTTGAGATTGTATGAAACTGGTCAGTACCATGGATAGACTCTGTTGGATACCTCTTCTGGGTGTTATTGCATTTCAGATTTGGATACCTCTTCTGGCCTTCTGGGTGTTATTGCATATTGTGTGAGGTCACCACAGAGTATTCACTCTAGACGGGTCTTGGAGTTTTTGTAGAACTGAATAATTCTTTAGCTACTGAGGGGGGGAATTCTTTGGCTCTTGACTGGCGAATAACCAGCAGCTGAATTGTCTGTCTTTCCTGCTTTTCTAGTTTTCATTTGATCTTGGAGTCTGGTCTTTCTAGTGTCACATGCATATATATGAGTTCAGTTTATTTTATTTTAATTATTTGTCAGAATCCACCTTTTAAAATGCTATGATGTTTATGTTAGAAACCATCTTTAATTTTTTAGGTAAAAAGAGAGTTGTTTCTATTTTTTTGTTTGTGAAGTAGCACCTTATGTCGGATTCCGGCATTGACTTTTTATTTCAGGTGTTGACCACCCCGCCCTGACTACTAAAATCACCCATTTCCGACACACCACCAATGCTGCCCCACCAAAACTCATCCTAACCACCCAAAATCCACTCAATCACCTCCAAAATCACCCATCCACCACCAAAACCCTACTCAACCTCCTTGAAACCACTTGTCCACCATCAAATCCACCAACCCATTATTGAAACCCACATCAACCTCCTTAAAACCACTCCATTTCCGCTAAAAATCTTCCTAGTCACCTCACAACCACTCTTCTACCAATGAAAAAAACACCCTATACCACAAAACCACTCACCCACTACCGAAAACGGCCCACTTACCCCCGAAATTACCCATCTCAAGGACAAACCCCAAACTCTCCAAAAACACACTATCTACTTTTAAAAGAGGAATATAGATAGAGAAAGAGGGAGGGGTGTGATAGGGAGAATAGGGGGTGGGGGGATGATGGTGGTGTTGACGAAGGGGGAAGGGAAGTAGCGGTGATGGTGAGGGAAGAGGAGGTGGTGGTGCAACCAGGGCAAAGAGAGAGTGAGAGTTAAAACGAAGTCAATGCCAGAAATGGTGGTTTCTTACAAAAACCGTACTTTATAAGGTGGCTTTTCTGAAAAAAATCCCTTTTTTATTTTTTATTTTTTATTTTTTTGGTGTTGTGATAACAATGATCTGATACTCTGATTCTGATAACCCAACTTCTTGTTCTTAACACCGTATTCTCTAATTCCTTTTTTTCTCAATAATATTTTTGTAATCCGAAGATGAAGACCTTCGTTCTTGTAGGTTCTGAAGCCTGTCTCTGTTGATGCAGGTCAAATGCTGTACATCTCTGTTACCTTGCCAATTGAGAATTGATTTTTTTTGACAAATATACATTACTCATACTACTATACTAGATGATCAAAATGAATAGTCTTCCAGTACAGTTGTCCGCCTATACTAATTGTATCATTCTCGTGATTTTGTATGTAATTTTAAGCACCGATGCGGACAAGGTTTCTGGAAATTAGCATCTGAGTGAATTGTGCATAACTTGACGTAGGAACTAGATAGATAAAAAAAAAAATACTATTTTTTCTCTCGATTTTGGCACTTTAAATTTGTAATAGCGCACTCGCTTATTCTCTCGTTGATGATAAAAGTAGGGTGGGAGTGTTGATGTAAATCATATCTCAATCAGTATAAAATTCCCAGCGAAGAAAGGTCGAGCATCCCAAAATGTCTGATAAGATTTGGTTGTTCGTGATGGCCACCTTTCGTGTGTAGCAATTCAGCTAGACTTATAATCTCTTACAGCAAAGAACATTATATTATATTGTTTTTCTAGTTCTTGCGATTAGTTTCATGGTAAATTTGTAATGGACATTGGACAATTAACTTTGTCAGCGCATAGAAGACACATCCAAAGCGGATGTAAGTTACTGCAGCAATTTATCGTTGGCTAGATTGGTGCTACAAAAGCTCAATTTAAGCTTACAAGTTACAAATTCCTCCGATTTTGCACAAGTCTTCTATCTATGCAGCTGCTGCCTTTTCTTTTTCCTTCTATGAATATGGGATTGGTTCATTGATAAAAGTCATCCGATATGTGCAAAGAGATTTAGATCTAAAAAAGTTTAAAGAAACATAGCAATTGAATCAAATAAAAGCTTTCTTTCGTTGTTGCATATGTTTATGCTACTTGGTTTTACGAGTGAACTATAATACAAGGTACTAAACTATCATGGTTGTTGCAAATTGGGGACTCAACTTTCAGAAGTAGCAAATTGGGTACTAAACTAAGGGAGAGTACCTGCCGAAGAGAATATTCCGGGCATGTGACTTGTAATAACCGATTTTAATCAGATATGATGGTGCATTGGTAACTGGGTTTTGATGCCTTCTCATATCTCGATGTTCCAGCAACTTGTGGCGGGAAATGCTCCTTCACAAAGCTTCCCTTGCAAGCTTCCCAAGAATGCCCCTTATTTCTCCCTCATTATAAACAACCTTTAATTCCCATTTCCCTATATAAGCAAGTAGAAAGGGGGGTGGGGGGGACCTTCAAAGATTTTCTCGATTAAAAAAGCTCCAAAAACAGAAAGTTGCAATAGAATATTCATGAGTTGGTCTGCTATTGATCTAGTTGAAGAAAGAGATTGAAAATTAGCGAAATTAACTTCAGCAGAAGGTATATTCCTTTTCTTTGTCTATTTGTTCATGAATCTTGTGTTGGTTGGTTGTTGTTTTCTTCATAAAAGTGTTAGTTTGTCTTTTTCACACGAGTAAATAATGTTTTATTTTATTTTATTTTTTTATTTTTTTTTTTGCATAATTTTGTTGCAAAAGTGTTTGACTTTGATTAAACTAAGCTATTAATCTTGATTGTTGTGTTGTATTTATTGTTAAAAAATGGAGAAATGTTTATTTGTTGGTAGTTTAAAAGAGCATAGTGTAAGAATACCTCACCGACTTTATTAAAAAACTGCTGGCCTTTAGGTATGGACGCCCTTGCTGATGCACACCCTCTATTCAGCGAGCAGGATGTGTTGGTCACCCACATCTTCTTGTGCCTGCTATGGGAGGACCAGGCCAACCTGCAAAAAGTGGCGGGTCTGGTGGCGCCTCCGCCACCTGAACTTCAGCTACCCTTTCCATGGCCCATGGGCTAGCATACAAGAGTGGATCCTTCGGGATGTGCTGTTCAATGATGGCCACGACCTTCATGCGTGGCTGAACAAGGACATGACCGCCTATTTTGAAGGTTTTCCACCCTGTTCAAGGAGGAGTAGGCGCAAAGGGGCTGGGGTGTCTAGGTGCAACATGTTTAGGCTTTTTTTGGGGATGCTGCTAGTTTAAGCTTATGTTGATCCTTTTTTTTTTTTTTTTTTTTTTTTTTTTTTTTTTTTTTTTATAATCTGATGTAAAAATGAACTCTTTTTAAATTTCAACTGTCATTGCATAAGTAGGTTTTTGTGTGACAAGTTTGGAGATGTTAGTACTTGTCACTATGCCATGAGGTACTAACTGTAGGCTGTAGTTGAGCCTACCTTTTGAATGGATGTAATGAATATTTTTATGATATATGAATGGAATAATTATGAATTATCTATGAACTTGTGTGCATCTTTGTTGCTTTGTTTACTTTAACATTGTTGTTTATATATATATACACAAATGAATGATCTGGAAATGGAATTTTGAACAATATACCCATGTTTGTATAACAGATATGATGCAATTGAAACCTTGCATAATAGTTCATCACGGTGAGGAATGGGTTGAAGCTGGTGGTCAAATGATTTACAATGGGGGGGAGGGTCAATTCATTTGATGATATACCAGAAGATGTTGATTCTAGCAATGTGAAACAAGTAGTTGACAGCTTAGGGTATACAAACATAGTAAAAGTTCACTTTTTGGACCCTAGAAAGGATTTTCAATATGGTATAAGGTATTTGGGGTTTAAAACTAGGTCTTGTGATCCTTTTCTTTCAACTGGAGTTTAGGGTTATTGACCTCTATACAGAACTTGAACTTGGACATGTAACTACTGACATAGGGACTGGACTAGGTGGTCAAGGGTCCTTTGATGAACTTCTAAATAGTGGTGTGCCTAAGTGTAGTGATTCATTTATAGACTATGACACTGAAGGCTCAGATGAAGATCATGTAGAGATTGTGAATGCCAAAACAAGGTCGAGTCAGGAAAAAGAGAAGGAGAAGTCCTATGAGGATGAATTGGTGATGTTGAGAAGGCTAGCAGAATCTAAGGGTAAAGATCCAGCAGGATATGCAAGTGATTCTAAAGGACTTAGTGAAACAGATAGCCCTTGTGAGTCATTTGATGAAGATGACATTGGTTATCTAATTCAACCTTAGATTAAGAGAGCTAATGTCAGGAAGGGAGGATGTGAAGGGAGCAGTGGCACGTTTTATGTTGGTCAGTCATTTGAGAATTCAACAATATTTGAGAAAACTGTGACTGACTACTATATTGAGACTGGTAGAGACATACAATTCACTATGAATGACAAAAATAGGGTTGGTGGGCATTGCAAGAGTAAAGACAAAGGCTGCCCTTGGAAGATATGGGCTTCTTGGGAGAAGGGGAAAAGGAATTTCATGGTTAAAACTCATGTGGGTGAGCATACTTGTGGGAGGGCACCAAGCTGCAAGAAAACAACAACTTCATGGGTTGCTAGGAATTTCAAAACCAAATTCACTACATGAAGGCGGTATCATTGAAGACTGTGTGGCTTGAGAAAGGGCTTAAAGTGAGTAGGTACTTGGCATACAGAGCAAAAAAGATTGGGCAAAAACTCATTGTTGGTGAGTATGAAGAACAATTTGGTCTTCTTCCAAGATGTGCAGCTGAAGTTCTGAGAAGTAACAGGGCAAACACAATGAAACTAAAGATGAATGCCAATGTGTTTAAAAGGATTTACTTATGTTTTGAAGCTCTTAAGAAGGGATTCGTAGCTGGCTGCAGAAGGTTCATTTCCTTAGATGGTTGCTTTCTCAAAGGGCCTTTTGGGGGTCAGCTATTAGTGGCTGTTGGGAGGGATGGGAACAACCAGATGTTTCCAATAGCATGGTCAGTAGTCGAGGTAGAGAGCACAAATACATGGATTTGGTTCTTAGAACTTTTAGCTTCTAGTTTAGGTACTTATGGGGGGAATGATACACTTTCACGTCTGACCAGCAGGAGGGATTGCTTGCTGCTATAGCTAACACATTCCCTGAAGTTGAGACAAGGGTTTGTGCAAGACATGTGTACTGTAATTTCAGAACAACATTTGGTGGGGGTCTAGAATTCAGAAAGTAGTTTTGGAAGATTGCCAAAAGTACAACTGAGAAGGTATTTCATGCAAACATAGAGCTGATGAGAACTATTTCAGTGGCTGCAATTGACGATCTCTTGAACGGAATCTACAAAAAATGGTGCATGGCATTTTACAACCCTCTTTCATGTTGTGATAGTGTTGATAACAACATGAGTGAGGTTTTTAATGCATACATTCTTAATTCAAGGCATAAGCCCCATTATCACTATGCTAGAGGACATAAGGGAAGGTTTAATGGAGAGGCTACATAAGAAGAGGGATCAAATAGCCAACAAAGACATGTGTTGTGGCAGGAGAAGTTACAGCAGCAGGGAAGCTTAGGAAGAAAGGTGTTGTCATCAAATGCAGATTGTGTGGTGTCCAAGGTCATAATGCAAGAGGCTGCAAAAATGTTGCTGTAGAACACAAAAGCAACAATTCAAACAATGGGAACTCCACTTCTGCAACAACAGCAATACTGAAGCTCAACTACCCATGTATATGAGCGGGGTGGGCATTTACACTTATCCAAATGGGTTTCAGAGAGTTGCAATAGTAAGAAATAAATTCATGTTATGATGTTATCATCATTTCAGAATTTTGCCTTAATGTAATAACCAATCTTTATAGCTTCAGGGTGATTATAACCCACAAAATCATGTTCCTGCACCTACACCACAACCTGTTCAAAGGACATTTTATTGTAACTATAAAGGGGAGCAAACTGTGTACAGTCAGGAATATCCCTTATCTAGCCAACAAACCCAGCAAGAACCAACAACTATATCATCACAAGCACTGCAGGTAAGTTAATAGAACAAATTTTATAAATTTCTTTGCCAAATTGCAAAAACTGAGTACATTTTCAAATGACCTGTAGGACCTAGCAAAGCAGAGAAAAAGCAACAAGCATTAAGGTGCCATACTAACTACCTACTGCTTACATTTTGCTCTGCCTAAAATAAAAGTAAAACACAACAGATGCAGCAACAATTATGCCCCACAGTTGCCAACTCAAATTCACTCTTACACCCCTTTTGAACTTCATCAATGTGTTTTCTGCCTTCAACTTCCTTGCATATTGGTTAGCTCACAAAGTTGTTTCCTCATGGCCATCATCTCATGTTTCAAACTCTCATTTTCCTCTAACAAACACAATATAACCTCAATCTGCCAATCTATTGGTGCTTCAACATCTGTCCACTTGAAAAACTTACATCCTCTTCTCTCAGTCCCTGCATCATAATCTGGACATGTAAGGAATCTTCTTCCAGGGTTGTCCTTTGTCCAAGCCTTAAGCAAACCATAGTGACACCTCCTTGGGCTTGAGCTAAAACCTGAACTTAATCTTGACATGATCACTGTCTCACTGATCTTTCTTGTTACTATTTCTTGCAGATTCACTCAACAGAAGCACTATTTTTTGGAATTTTTTTTTTTCAGACAACAAGCTATTGAGTAACCAAATATCAGAAGCACTCTTATATATTGTTCATTGCTTAACTTCTTCAAATGCAATGGTTATATTATTTAAATGACAGTTACAATGCTCATTTTGCTGGTTTAATGTATTCTAACAATTTTTTGTACTTCACAGACTTCAAGGCAATGAAAAAAAAACCACATTTGCTATTATTTGCTGTTAATAACTAGCTACAACAAGTTAAATAGGTTGAGTACAAAGTTTAGTACTTTAACTGCAACATGTGAAGTTGAGTACCCAATTTGCAACTTTGGCAATAGTTTAGTACCTAGCTTTATAGTTCACTCTATAGGATCAAATACAATTATATGAATTTTTTTTTAAATTTTGCTGAGTAAAACCACCGCTGCTTAAGATAGCAATTTTACTTGGCAAAATCATAGCGATTTTACATAGCAAAACCGCTACAAGAATTACATGAAAAAAAAAACACAAAATTAAGCAATCTGTGATTGTTGTTTCATAGAGAAATACTACCCCCCTTCAAAATTAATCAACACAGTAAACTTGACACATTTGGTATTGTGCAAATTCTACCCGCAAGTAATTTATATGTTTATAAAAATTGTTAAGAAATTGATATAATGAAAATTTATATTAATACATGCTTCCTCCGTTTTTTTTACTTGTAACAATTTAACTTTTACACTATTTACATATCTCAATTTGACTAGCTTTGGTGATTTAGAGGTTAGGAAAAATATAGTTATGTAGGATCTTATTTACTCGTCTCGATTTATATTTTCATAATATCAAATTTTTATATATAATTTTTACACATTGGTAATTATAGATATTAACGATTAAAATAATGCATTAGCAAGCGTGAAAAGAGAAGTGTTGCAAGTATTAGGAAACAGAGAAAGTATTTAACTACATTTTGCATGATATGGAGTATATAACTAAAAATCATCAAACTATAACAATTATTATGAAATGAAGGGAGTACTATTTTGGGTAATGTAATAAAGATATTTTCCTTAGTCGACTAACAAAGATGATTTTTGTCACTGTTAAGTTTTTAAGGCTCCGTTTGTTTTGACGGAAAATATATTCTTAGAAAATGATTTTAATGATTTTCTCATGTTATATTGTTAGGTTAAAAAGGGATGGAAAACAATTTTCCTAAAGTGGAGAATAATTCTTCCAAGAGTAGAAAATGTTTTCCTTCTAAAGGGAAGATATGCTACATTTTCCTCCATATGCCTCACATCTCTTACCTCTCCTCTCATCATCTTCTCCCTTCCACTCCTATTCTCCCATTTCTGTATAATTTTTTTTATTTATAATGAAGCAAACAAAGGAAAACTATTTGAACAATTATATTTTCCTTGAAAATTATTTTCTATGGAGAATCATTTTTCTAAAAATTTGTTCCCGTTAAAACAAACAAATCTTAAAAGAAACTGACCAATTTAAGTGCTCTAAATAATTCCAACCGTCATACTCCCTTCGTGCTTTAATAAGTGTTACACTTTGAGCGGCACATAGTTTTAGATAATTTAACTGACTTAAATAAAGTAAAAGGTAAGTGAGTTAGTTGGTGTATTAAAAAATTGTAAAAGAAAGATAGTGAGGTTAATAATTTATTTAAAAGTAATGAATGTAAGAGTAAAGAAATAATTAAAAAAGTAGTACTCCCTCCGTCCCTAAAAAAACGACCCTTTTGGCTAAATTTTAGTCCTAAAATGTTCATCCCATTTGCATTAAAATACCCTCCAATTTGCAATGATATTAGTGCAAAATTAGCTTCCCCATGTAAATTTTGCTTTTTCCATATACTTTTATTACTTTATCTCTCTGCTTTTTTACAATTCCCATGTAAATTTACCTATTCAATGTATTTTTATTAGCTTCCCCATACACTTTTACTTCCCACTTAAGTTTCTTAATATTTGTGAAAAATGTCCAAAAGGCTCGTTCTTTTAGGACAGAGGGAGTTGTGGGTTTGGGTGGGAACCATAAAAGGTATTAAAATGTAGTTTTTTGTACTCCGTAACATTTATTAAAACACGACCGCATTAGGTAAATATAACAGTTAATAAAATACAAAGGGAATATATTTTACTCACATTAGACTTTTGGATTTTTTTATTTTATTTTATTTTTATTTCAAATTAATCAATAACATAACATAACATAATACTAAAACAGACACTAGGAATGACACATGTCACTTCCTGGTGCTGTATTTTCCCTCCAAAACTCCCCCTTTTAATTTTTTAATATTTTTTTATTGTAAATTATGTACAATATTCACCAAATCATATAATTATGATATTTTTTATTCACATATTTCCCAAATCTAAATTAAAATATTCTCCATATTTATTAATTCCTAACTATAAATATTACTCCATATATCATATACAATACTGGTGGGTCAAATATATGGTTATTATTGTGTTTATAGATTTGGTGAATGCGACGGGTAAAACGTGTATTAGATTGTAGTTGGTAAAGTGAATGATATGACAAGAAAATTTTAGTTTTTTCCCTACGGAGTTAGAAAATAAATTAGTCTACCTCTCTTGTATAGTTATGTGGAGCATTATTCATTTATATTTCAATTAATAAATAACATTATAAAAATTAAAAGAAATGCAAATAACATAAAATACTATTTAAATTATAATCCATTATTTTTGTATCGACCATCAATAAATTAGCCCTTTATTAATAATCGAATTATCTTTGTTTTTTTTCCTACGAAATTAATAATTTGATTTATAAACCATGCATTGTACGAACACTATGCTAGTATGGAGTAAAAAAAAACTGTATCCACCCGTCCTGAACGAACCAATTAAAATGTACGATTAATAAATAACATTATAAAAATTAAAAGAAATGCAAATAACATAAAATACTATTTAAATTATAATCCATTATTTTTTGTGTATCGACCATTAATAAATTAGCCTTTTATTAATAATTGAATTATCTTTATTTTTTTCCTACGGAATTAATAATTTGATTTATAAACCATGTATTGTATGGACACTATGCTAGTATGGAGTAAAAAAAAACTGTATCCACCCGTCTGAAAGAACCAATTAAAATGTATAATTACTTGAAATCTAGATAATTCTTTACTTTAACGACTACTCCGTTGTTCGGTAACATAATACTGCACGGTGTACACTGTTTCACTGATACAGTATCTCTGTATCTGAGTATCATATGTCGGTTTAAGACGAGTCGTGTTTTTTCTTTTGTACTCCTTCCAACCCATCAAATTTACACTCACTCCTTCCCTGGATGAACACAATTGGCAAATCTCCCAACATCATCACTCGTGGAACTCCACCATTGGCTCCTCCATCTCACCCTTTCTCATTAAACATCAACCCCACCAAAAATATCTATTTCACCCAATTTGCCAATTTGCAAAAAAATAAAAAAAATAAATAACACAAAGTTTATGGCCACATCGTGTGATTGAGGTTACTTATTCAGTAGTTTTTTGATCGGTCAGGGATTATTCGATTAGTGATTATTTTATCAGGGTTACTCGATCGGTCAAAAGTTACCTGTTTATTATTTTGGGTCAGAAGTTATCCGTTTATTATTTTGGTGTGTATCACATGTGTGGGTCCCAATTTCATCTCCCACCTTTCCTTTCCTTCGTCTAAAACCCAGAAAAAATTCCCACTAAACCAGAAAATAGAGTACAGTATCCCATTCATTTCCAGGAACATTCCCACAAAATTTTTAAAGTCGGTGGCCCCTTCATACATTTCCACCGCCTTACTTTGCTCAGATATTTTCCCCCTCTTTACTTAGTCGGCAAGTCTCCATGTTTATCTATAAAGTCTCTCTCCTCCATTTGTTTCTTTACTCTGTTTTTTTCTTTTTTATAGTTTTCGTTTTCCGTCTCCTCAATTTATGGATTCTGATGATAAAATGTTTTTCCCAGCAATACCTATTTCATCTTCTGCTCCAATTCCATCTGGGTCGTCAACGACTTCGTCTTTCGACCCGTCCTCTGTTTTTTCATATTCTGACCCATTTTACTCAACTGGGTTTGATTCCATGACATCATCTAATATCAATGTGAATTTTCAGGGTTTTTCTTCTCCACCTCCTCCTACTATTCCTTCGATTCCTGCTGTTTTTGCCTCGGAGTCGGAAGTTGAGAAAAAACCGCAGCCATTAGAGTGTTTACAGGGTACCCCAATTCCACCATTTCTATCAAAGACTTATGATCTTGTTGAAGATCCCAATTTAGACATGATTATATCTTGGGGTTCGCGAGGCGAAAGCTTTGTGATTTGGGATCCTGTGGATTTTGCTAGACTTGTTCTTCCTCGGAATTTCAAGCACAATAACTTTTCCAGTTTTGTTCGTCAGCTCAATACTTATGTGGGTATTTCCCCCTATATTTTCTATTGCTTCGGCCATTTTTATTATATATATTCTGCTGCTTTTTTATTATTATTTCATTTATGTTCAATTATTTTGTATCATAATCATCTTGTATCAAATTTCAAAAAGTTGTAATTTTGGTTGTAATGGGATTGATTTTGCTGTAATGTTGTGGGGTTGGTTGTTGTAGAGTTGTACATATTTTGAGATAAATGTATAAATATTTTTTTTTGTAGTGAATTGTGTTCTTGGTTGTATATTTTGTTGGTCTATATGTGTAATGAAGAGAAAATACTTCTGCGATGATTGGGAATGGATCATACTTGAGTCTTGATCGTGCTGTTCTTCGCATTTCCAGATATAACAATGAATTTACTGGTTTGATTGTTTGCTCGAGTACGGAGTTTCACCATATTACAAGGTAGAATCCGGGTTTTAATTTAGTTGTTATTACTGCTACGTTACTTTAATTCAGCTTTATGCATAATGAAATACGAAGTAGTATGTTTTATATTGTTAGTGTTACACTCGTTGTTTGGGTTCTATGTTGTAACAGTAGGATTTCAGGATATAATAGAATGTCAGGTTATTGTGAAATGTCAGCCTGCTGTTGCTAATCACTGAATCAGGTTCTGCTCTACTTGTTTCTTTGATTCGAAGTTCTTTTGTACTCCTGTTGTATTAAGTAACTGTATGACTGAAGTTTCGAGTGAAGTTGTATTAATGCATTTTATGACTGAAATTTTAAGTGTTTCAGTGTACTGATGCAGTGTATGACTGAAATGTCGAGTGTGCCTGTCGTTTTGATGCAGTGTATGACTGAAATATTGAGTGTGTCTGCACCTTGTCATAAAAAGATGTTTGTCTTTGGACTAGTTGTAATACATTTCATGAATTAGCATTAATTCTGGACATTTTTGGTTACTTCAGGGTTTTCGTAAGGTTGATCCTGATAAATGGGAGTTTGCGAATGAGGGGTTTTTGCGTGAAAGCAGACATTTGTTGAAGAATATTCACAGGCGAAAATCCACTCAATCTCAGCAGCTTACTTCCTATGGAGGGTCATCATCTTCTGAGTCTGGAATTGGAAGTGAGATTGAGAAACTAAAGAAAGAGAAGAGTGCATTAATGCAAGAGGTTGTTGAGCTGCAGGAACAGCAGCGCGGAACTGCAGAGCATGTAGAAAGGGTGAAGGATAAGATTCAGGCTTCGGAGCAGAGACAAAAACAAATGGTTTCATTCTTAGCTAAAGTGCTTCAAAACCCGGTATTTGTAGACCGTTTGAAGCAAATGAAAGAACAAAGGTCTATTGTTTCTCCAAGAACAAGAAGGAATTTTCTGAAGCAAGCACATCAAGAAGCAGGTAGTTCTGGTACTTCTCTGGAGGGACAAATTGTCAAATACAAACCCGAGTTTGAAGAATTGAGGGACTTTCCATCTTCTGATATTCCAATGACAAGTGCTCAAGATTATCTCTTGCAAGATGTGATGGGAATGTCAAGTAGTGGAGCACTGAGTTTGCCTTTTCAAAGTGAAGTTGTTACTTTGAATGAATCTGCGACAGCACAGGAATTTATGGATATCCCTAGATCAGTTGGAGCTGGCCTTTCGAGTGCTGGGTTAGGAGATCCCTTTTCAAGGGGAAAACAGGTGACGACTGCTCATTCAGAAGCTGCAAGAGACTATTTTGTTTCGTTTCCTGAGGAATTGATCCGACAGAAAACGTTTCCTGAGTTCTCCTCTGCTGCAATTGGAAATATCAAGCAGGAGGAGGTCTGGAGTATGGGGTTTGATCTCAGCACAGATGTCTCAAGCTCTAGTCCTGCATTTTGGGGCAACGTTGCCAGTTATGATATTCCGGATGTTGGAACTTCTTGTCCAGGCGAGTTTTCAGATGTCTTTGATTTAGCTTCTCTTCAGGCAGGAGGTACAGGAATTGAAAATTGGCTGGATGATGATTCTTCTCCTGGCCACCCTGAGAATCAAGGTTTCGAGTCAAAAGATAATATTCCAAGGACTAATTCATAGGTTGCACTTGCTAGCTTAACGCGAATGCATCCCTATAGTGTTTCTAGGTTTAGATTAGTACATAATAGATTGAACGAGTGATTCTATCATTTAATCTATAAATTTGTTTGATTGATTTAAGCTTCAATTTCTCCAAATTTCTTTCTTTTATCTTATTTCATTATACATAATGGATGCGGGTATTGTCCCCATCTGTTTGCTGATACATATTTGCTGGTTCTCCATTAGATAGTTGCTAATGACTGTATCTCCTGCTAGAAATTTCTTTGCTAACAGCTAAAAGTTTTTGAGTTATGAATGTTGCAGGTAGGCATGTGCAGCAATGTAACCAGGCTATGTGGTAGGTACTTCTTACAACCAACTAAAGAAGAAGCAAGATCTGGTAAGCACTTTTTATATTAGCATATGAATTTCATGATTAGTATTATGATAAGACCTCATTAATATAGTTTTTTAGCATACAACCTGTATATAGCTTGTTTCGATCTGTATCAAGGTCGGCGGTGAAACAGAAGGATGTTTCGTAGTAGGATGATTATCAGCTGGGATCACTGGACTTGGGAGGAAGGAGGAAGGGGAATAGAGCGGTGATGTCATTTAGATATAGCTTCTTATCTTTCCTAGAGGTCGAAAGAAATGAGAGAACTGATAATTTTGGCACACTGATTTCCCTAACCTTCATTCACCACTAAAATCTCTGCTCATCATGCTAAAGTAGTCTCTCAACTTATGTGCTTAATCCTTGATAATTAGACATCGGGCCACAGGTTAGGATCCCTGCTTCCTGCTTGAAAGGCGTATCATTCTTATCTATGTCAATTGGTTTTTGGCTATAACACTTGAATAGATTTGCGAAATAATGTCTTGTACCTCTGAAGTCTGTCAGTTACCTTAAAACCAGGCTAATTCAATGGCACCCTTCTCAGTGATCTATAATCTGCCTTAGTAAAAAAAGATCACAGCTTGCTTTATGTTTATCATATATCAAGCTTCCACCATGAAATGCAAAATTTTTGCTCAAAAATAAGCATCACAAGTTCACAAGCTTCTTATCAGAAAGAAGAGGCTCGACTCATCAAAAGACCTCGTTCTACAGATCCATTGTACTAAGCCATAGTGTGTTCCTGTAAGATGGTGTCTGCCTGAAACAACTGAGACATTATATATCTTATATCAGATCAAGACTTGAGTGTGTGTCGTTAAACTTTTCAATGACCTTCCTTTGTAGACCTGGATCTGGATATAGTTCTACATCATCAAAAAATATTTTGTTGTCGGATTATAAGGGTGAAAGCTGAATTGACATCTATAAAGTGCACTAAATTTTAGTAGTTGAATCAGTGTCCTCTTACCAAGTTCCATTTTTTTCCCTCCTACCAATTTCCCTCCCCTCTTTTCATTCCCCCTTCCTGTTTGTTATCTTCTTCCATTTATTTTGTATCTTTTCTGTTCATCTTATATACTGTAGTATATTACTTGAAGATTGGACTAAAGATGTCACTTAGAGTAGCCGCAGTATATAGTTACCAATCCACTTATTTCCTGTGTTGTGAGACCTTGTCATGAACAAGTTACACTCTTAAAGGGCTAAGTTTCATCCATTAGTGGAAGAGATAAAGACGGTTGAAATTTAGGTAAGTGTCCACTGTTTCTTCTCAAAGTTGATTATACTTAGAATCTATTGCAAGCTTGCTTTCGTTCAATGATATTGGCAGGCTCATAAGATAAGATCGTAGATTTATAGATATATATATTGAGAAATGAAGTCACATATTCTTGTGCACAAGGAAACCTAAGATGAGGCACTCATGTATGGAATTCAAGTGTTGATATGTTTTTTGGTATCAAGCCTTGCTAATTGCTCATTTCATGGTGATGAAAGCTAATCTAATGACATTTCATCATAAAGATGTTAATATTATGCTAGAGAACTTGGGTGATAGATATTCATCTCCAATGGGTTAGAGAATATAGATATTATGCTTAGCCTTGCTAATTCTTTCACTCCTTGCAGTCTGACAGCTCGATACTTGTAAGATTGAATGCCTGAAGGTTTAGCACCAGTCCATGCTAAGATAATCCTAGCTAGGATGTTTGAGGAGACGACGATTCAGCCTAAATAGCAATAAAGAAGGCTTTGATCTTTGCCAAAGTTATCTTATAATGCTAATATTGTTTGAACATTTGTAGATTAGTGCACAGTGCACTAGGTGATTTTTAACTCTAATTTAAAAAATAAAAACTATTTGTAAAGTAATTCAATAAAGGAAAAACAATATAAGATTGCATTTGTATATTTAGTACATATCTCTTTGCTATCTCTCAAAAGTAATTAATTCAATATTAGATTGCATTTGTCGTCGTATAACTCGGTGTAATCCTTTAAGTTTATTACTTATTTTATTTTTATTTTTACTGAGTATTACTTTTATTGAACATAGTGAGTGCGCGTACTTTATTTGCTATTATACTTTAATCTAAATCCTTATTATGTATATTCACTAGAAAATAAACCAAAGGTTTTGTTGTTAGATACCAAAAAAGATATTAATAGTTAAAAATATTATAAATAATATAGATGAATATATAAAGGTACAAATGATATTAGATGACGGATGATGAGAATCGATTTTATGATTTACCGAATCGAAGGAAAGTTTTATGTAGTAACAATTAAGCTATCCCCCACTTTCTTCTATTTAACCATTAGATTATTGCACGATAGTAATAATTTTTTTTCCATATTTAATTGTGATATAATATAAAAATGAGTCAACTTATGTGGAATAAACAAATGCAATGCATATAAAAAAATAAACTTAATAAAGCAGACATTATTAAAACTACAATTGAGAAAAAAAAAATTATTGTTGATTAGTTGTGTTGAAAATATTATACATTATATTAATTAGTGATGCATATTATTCCTAATTAAACTATACAATAATCTAGTGACTATATGACTAAAAACTTATTTATAAATGTCTTTAATAAACATGAAAATATTCATCAAACAACAGAATAAAATTTATTGTAAAACTATTAGCACAACATACATGTAAATCTATAAATTACAAATAATATATCATCTTTATATCCAATAATATAATTTCAATGGAAACAAATACTACTTGGATCATTAAAAGCAATAATAATCAACAATTAGGCAACACTAACCTATATTATCAATAGTACATTTTTTGTTTATGAATTAATGCTCTACATGATATCGTTGCTCTTTGTTATTATATAAAAATGTGTTTGAAGTTATCCAATAATTATAGTTTGATCATTGTTTGTTTATTGTCTTAAAAGTTTTTTTGTACGTGATAGCTATTTATAGAAAAAAGGATACATAAGAAGATGTCACTCGTCACTATGTCCGGTGTGTCTTTATACATCTTATTTATGATGTTGAATGTAAGAAATTTATTATCTCAATTCAATCACATGTTTCAGCAAAAGATATACGTAGTATATATTATTTACTAAGATATTACTTTATTTAATTACGTAATAACAGAAAATTGATTGCTAGTTCACATTTTTCTAGAATTAATAATAGGCAAAATTGGCCGCAACACTCTGAAGTATGGCTTAGGTGCACTGAGCACCCTGAACTTTGCATAGTAGCCAAAATACCACCAATTATGGTGTTAGGTGCAATGCATACCATATATGAAAATTTCCGGCATCTTATTTCACCGGGAGGAGGTGAATCTTCACCCTCTAGAACAGTTATGTAGTCTTCCATCCACTTAGCACGCATGGATTCACCTCCTCCGATGAAATAAATGGCCGGAAATTTTCATTTAAGGCACGCGTCGCACCTAACACCATAGTAGATGTTGTTTTGGCTACTACGCATAGTTCAAAATGCTTAGTGCACCTAAGCCATACTTCAGGGTGTTGCGGCCAATTAACCTTAATAATATGATATAGTTGTCGTTTGTCGAACACAACATTTATTATAGTCAAATATAATACTCCATTAGTCTAATAAACAAAATATTAGAGGTATTTGAAAAAAAAAATTAAAGTAATGTTTTAAAGTATATCAATTATATTATTACTTCTTGGGCAAAATTCAATAATACTCCGTCTAAAAGATGTTCAGGCGGTAATGATAGTATCTTGTATCTGATCAATGAGTCACTTTTTCTGTAATTAAAAAAGAGTTAGAATAACATTTTAGTTAAATGTGTATGGAAGAATTAAGAACATGTAATAAAAAAAATAAATTTTATGTAAAGATAATATATAAGATTTAGAATAATATTATTATAATTGTGATACAAATATTCCAAAAATAAAAGACTTTTTGCTAAAAAGGGAGAGGGAGTTTTCGATGAAAAAAACAGCACCAAAAAGTAACACGTATCATTCATAATGTCTTTCAAGGTTTCTAACAACAAGAAGTTTGACCAAGAGGACCTCCTCCACCCTTGCATACGGGTGTCCTACCCTCCCCGGGAAATTTTTTTATTACAAAGACCAGCACAATTTTTACACCCAGAACTCTCGACACAACCAACTTCAGCGGCCATCGTTGGAACACCTGTTTCAATCACGAATAAACACTAAATTAATATAACATTGTACGAATGCATTAGGCTAAATAATCAATTAAATGATGAATTAACAACCAATGTAATAATGAACCATCCCAATATCTATGTTCATTTTTTTTTTTTTTTTTTTTTTTTTTTTTTTTTTTGACAATAGCAAATATATATATATATATATATATATATATATATATATATATATATATATATATATAAATCAGAATTTACAACCTATAGAACAAGAACTGAAACTTAAAGCATGACTTTTAACACTTAAGCCGTTACAACAACTTTTGAGATTAAAAACAAAATTAAACTTGAATTGGCCGGACAAGTCCCAGATTAGGGACTCCTTACAAACCAAGGAGCAAAAACATACTACACACCATAAAGAGAGCAAAGGAGAGGATCGAAACTTTTTGACCATGGCTAGCAAATCCTTACCTGGCGGGATCAACTCATAACCAAGTTAGGTCTTCAAACAAGTCACTTGAATTAGTGACCTTCCAATCAATAGCTTTCCTTGTGATAACTAGCATGTATTAAT